GGGGGGGGGGAGACCCAGGGACTTGAGTCTGATTTTTAAAAAGTCCGAACCGAAATCGACTCAAATTGCCCGTGTGACCACAGAGTCAGCATTCCTAGGCAGAAGCCGGCTTTCGATTCGTGCAGGTCTTCATCAGGCTGGGCAGACGGACAGGCAAGGCGTCTCTGCTTCAAGCATGTCTCAAAAATCCGGGCTGCGGCATCAAAAAATGGGTGCAGGTTTTCCCGTTTTACGTCCGGTGGTTCTGATGGGGATGCATCCCCTAACCCTCTTAGACCCCAAGGGTGGAGCGTTCACCTTCTCCGTTATTTCTTCTGCACCGTAGGGTGGTGCCCAGCCTGACGAAGACCCGGAGGTGGGTCCGAAAGCTAGCGCCTGCGCCGGACGATTTTGGAGTGGGGCGATAAAGGCATCATGCCTCCCGCCTCCCCCTCTCGCTGGTCAAACCGTAGGCTAGTAAAGAAGAAACCAGCCTTTTGAAACAATGTCAACCTATTCTTTCGAGCAGTAACTTTCCAAGCCCTGCAGAAAACAGGCCAAGAAAACTTCTGCAGGGCTCCACGGCTGGCACCAGATGATGAAAAACTCTGTTGCTTCCTGAATCTGATTCCTCCTCCCCCCCACCCCCCGAGTGTTCCTAACTGCCTGGTTTTTCGTGGTCTGCTTTTACACTTGGAGTTGTGAACGCATGAAAAGGAACAAAAAGCCAGTCCTGCCGTAGCCAAGAAAACTCAGCGAACTTCCCTTCTTTTCTTTCGCTCCCCCTTTCCCGACCCGTCTCATACTTGTTCCCCGGGGCACCCTGCCCCACATACGCTGAATGCTGGCTTTTTCTCCTTTTTTCCCCCCCTTTCCTTGGAGCTAATCCTTCCAAGCCTCATTAGAACTTTGACCCAAGTGTGGAGTGATTAGGGCTTGCATAATCCCACCGGTCTCTCTCTTCCCGCCCCCCCCTTTCTGCCATCCAGCCCGTTGGGTTCCCCAAACGATGACAGCCGCGTGCAAATATTCATTAACAGACCTTGGGCTGCAGCAGCATCTTGGGAGGTGGTGTGTGTGTGTGTGATGGTCTTGCGGGGTGACTTGAGTTCTCACAACAGGTTGCTATGACGGGTTGCTTTTCCTTCCTGCCAAGCCCGTAAGCAATACTTTCAGCGTCCGCCAAGATGGGGGCGACCGCAGCCTTCCCTTCAAAGATCCTGACCCTGAATTAGGGAGAGGAGATCTTTTTTTTTTCCCAGGGAGGGTGGGAAAGGCCGAATATGGGCTGCGTGTGTTTCCGAAGGCCTGGCTGCAGAACTGTGAGATCCGTCGTTCTCAACATCCCCGGGGTGACAACCCAAGGGACCCCCCTCGAGCCATGACGTTTGCCGAACTTCTCGACCGGATCGGGGGCATGGGGCGCTTCCAGGTCCTTCACGTGGCCCTGCTGGTCACCCCCGTCCTCTTGACCGCCAGCCACAATTTGCTCCAGAACTTCTCGGCCGCCGTCCCCGACCACCACTGTCGGATCCGGTGGGCCGGCAACGCCTCCGAATGGCCGGCAAACCGGACTCAGAGGATGAGCCTCCAGGAAGACCTCCTGCAGGTTGCCATCCCCCAGGATGCCACCGGGAAGCCGGAGAAATGCCGGCGATTTGTCACGCCCCGCTGGCATCTCCTCGCCACCAACGCCAGCCGCAACGGGACGCCAGAGCCGATGGAGACGGAGCCGTGCCACGACGGGTGGATCTATGACCGAAGTGTTTTTACAAACACCATCATCATGGAGGTGAGAGGACAGAGAGAGGGGAGGTGAGACTAAACCAGGGAGAATCAAAAGCTGGCAGAAGCAACCTGGGGGGGTCGTTTCGGTGTATTTGCAATGTATTTGCAAATTGCAAATGTATTTGCAATTAATTTGCAAATTGCAAATGTATTTGCAATTTGCAATGCAGTATATTTGCTAAATTCAAAAAAATTCTTCACATTTCCCCCTTTCCTCCCTATGAAGTCTGTTTCACCAGTTTCACCACCGTGAGGAGGACAGAGGTCCCGTCAAGTTTGGTGGCACTTTCTAGAATCACACCCAACACTATTTTATTGGGGAAATGTATGTAACAGAGCAGGGGCCACAGATTCATCCTATCATAGTCCCCCAAATGACCGCAAAATTCACAAAGAGGCTTCTGCCTATGGGATGTCAGAGAAATTCCTCAAGGCTGAAATGTTGTAAGGAAAACATTTGTACTTTTCATAATTTTTGCAGCCTGGTTCACAACTTTGAACAGGCTGTGTCTAGAGAAAAACTGAGCAGAAAAACATGGTCTCTACCAGGGAAATGTTGCTCAATGCTATTAGAGGCTTCCAAAAAGTATTTATTTGTGTAAAAAGAAGGACATGGAGGAATGCATCAAAAGGTATATGGTGTTTTTCTCTTGCGGGGAAACAAAATTTGCCACATTGGCGAACTGAAATGAGCTTATTGTTATTTACAATCAATTTGCCTCCGACCCACAATGACCCTGCGAATACATGACCTTGTGAATATGTGGTGTTCTGTCCTCAACTGCCCTGCTCAGCTTTTGCAAACGCAAGCCTGTGGCTTCGTTTAGGGATTCAGTCCATCTCACGCTCGATCTTCTTCCTTCCTTCCTGCCTTCGACTTTTGCTAGCGTTAGTGTCTCTTCCAGCAAGTCTTGATGTGACTTGTATGATAGTCTCATTTTCATCATTTTGGCTTCTTGAGAGAAATGAGCTTGCAGTAGAACACATGGCGAAAGCCACAACACACACACACACACGCACACACACACACACACACACACACAGAGAGAGAGAGAGAGAGAGAGAGAGAGAAATATATGAAGCCAGGCCGGCACCTTTGCTATACACCCCACCCGGCTTATCCCGCTGTCTGGCCCTCCATGTCTGGCCCCATGTCTTCTCTGATGGAGCCCCTTCTGAGGGTGACTGCCGGAGCACAGCAACATCTAGTGGCAGAATGTCATAACTACACCCTATATAGCACGTAACATCCACGAATTACGAATTTCTCCTTTTCCTCTTAACTCTGCCCATTTCCCTACCCAGTAACCCCCTTCTCCTCCATCCATGCAGTGGGACCTAGTGTGTAACCTGCGGACCCGAAGACAGATGGCTCAATCGATTTACATGGGTGGCGTCCTGGTGGGCGCTCTCGTGTTTGGGACCCTTGCCGACAGGTAGGTCCGCGGAGCGAATTATTCTACACCGAAGCCATCCTTCATCTGCCTCGTGCCCTCCCGATGCGTTGGTTATGATTCCCATCATCCCCAGGGCTGCCAGCACCTCTGGACGCACCAGCTTGAGGGAGACTGGCTTGTCTTCTTGGAATATGTTCACAGCCACAGAAGCATGAATGGGGTTGAGGCCGTAGTGAGTGGATTTCCCACTTTAGCCACAAATATCCTCATAGAGACTTGATCATGTTGGTCCCTTGGCCTTTTTGTTTCCCTTCTGCAAAAAAAATGAGAATACAGTAAGACCCCTATATCCATGAGGGATAGATCCTAAGGGCCCTTGAGGATGCTGAAAAATCTGAATTATAGCCAACACCACTAGAACAGCAAATACTATCTATAGCCTGCTCTCTGGCTCCCTCTCGTGGCCTGTTCTGGTAACGTCATCATTAAAAATATGTATTTGGGGGATTTTTCTTTTAATATTGTTAATATTTTCAGACCGGATCAGTGGATCAGTGGATAATGATCCCGCGGATAAGGAGGTCCTATGTATGTGGATGTGTACAGAGAGAGAGAAATAGAGAGAGAGAGAGGTGTAAATATATACAATAAATACGAATCTATATTTCGTGACCCGTCCTACGTCACAGGTTTGGGCGCAAAGCCGTACTCAGCTGGTCCTACCTGCAGATGGCTGTTTCAGGCGTGTGCACAGCGTTTTCGCCAAGTCTCACGGCCTATTGTGTCTTCCGTTTCCTGGTCGGGATGGCGCTCTCTGGGATCGTCCTGAACTGCATGTCCTTAGGTAAGAGACGAAGGGCTTATTTTAATGCCATCAAACAGGACGAAAGGGACGGTGAAACGAAGGGCGCCAACCCTTTCCGTTTGTGGACCTTCTCTGCCAAACGGTCTCCTCGGCACGACCCTCCAGCTGTAGCTTCTGTGATAACCAAGGACTTATCTCTCCTTTTAGCAGCCTGATGGGACATGCTGTTATCCCGTATACAGCAGGACGCCGGTATCCATGGAAGATAGGTTCCAAACCCCCTCAATGTGGATGCTGAAACTCATGGATAAAAGTGAACCCTAGATATCTCATAGTCGCTGGCTCCCTCTAGTGTCCAGTTCTGATAATGACATCATGGAATTATGTATTTCTGGGTTTTTTTCTTTTAAAATTTTTAATATTTTCAGAGGATAAGTGAAACCATGGATACGGATCCTGTGCGCACAGGCGTCTGGTTGTATTTGTCATAAGGGGAGATGTACTTTTATAGGAGAGATCCATTGGCCCAAATCCTGTCGCTTAGTGGGGTAAATTGCTCTACCGTAGGCCCCTTTGGATCAATGGAACTTCAGGAGGACCTGACTCACTAAATCCCCATTGATTCAATGGGCCTTCTCTGGTGCAACTTACTACACTAAACAACAAGATTTGGGCCATGCCTTCTTTTGTTTTTCAACTTTGTAGGGGGGGGTTGCTTGTTTTCCTTGCATTATAACTTCGGCACACAGACTTTTGCGTATTTGCGTGTATTTTCTTAAAAGGTGGCTCAGGAATGTAACAAAATAGAGTGAAAAAGTGGCTCAAAGGTCTACTCCTGCGAGGTTCATATTTTGCTGATTATATAGGGGTTCGGAGAGGCATGAACTGAGCACTCCCGATAGAGGAGAATTCACAGAATCACGGAATCACGGAAATGGAGGGGTGTGTCTTACCTCGAATCCAGCTCCCTGCTCAAGGCAGGAATCGAAATCACAGCAGATCTGACAGCGGGCGGTCCAATTTTCTCCTGAACGTCTCCAGCATTGGAGCCCTGGACACTTCCCAAAGTAATGGTTCCCGTCGTCGTACCATTCCAACAGTTAGGAAGTTTTTCCTGCTACTCATCTGAAATCTGGCTTCCTGTCGCTTGAGCCCATTATGACGTGTCCTGCAGTCTGGGAAGATCGAGGACAGATCCTGCCCCTTCCTCTGTCTGACTGCCTTTCAAGTATTTTAAAAGTGCGATCCTCCACTCAGTTTTCTTTTCTCCATGACGTGCCCTGCAGTCTGGGAAGATGGAGGACAGATCCTGACCCTTCCTCTGTCTGACTCCCTTTCAAGTATTTTAAAAGTGCGATCCTCCACTCAGTTTTCTTTTCTCCAGTTCTTTCCGGTTTTTTTTTCCTCCTAGGGTTTCGTTTCCAGTCCCCTCATCATCCTCGTTGCCCTCGTGGGCTTTCCGATTTTCCCCGTTATCCGGATTCCCCGGCCGTCCCTGGTTCAGGGGGCGGGCTTTCCGATTTCCTCCGTTATCCGGATTCCCCGGCCGTCCCTGGTTCAGGGGACCAAAGAAGCTTAGCATCCTCTGAATCTGGGGAAGAACGGATAACAGTGGGGAAGGTTACTCCTCCGTTATCCGAGGATAACAGTAGGGTAACCTGGTACAGTGCTCAGAGGAGTTGGGCATCCCCCTGAGGCACGCAGGCGTACTTCGTAAACACTTCTCCAGTCAACCACACACATGCATCCCTTGTACTTCAGCAGGTGGACCAGCTCCAGGGCCATGGTGGCCCAAATGGGCAACTTTGGCCCGCCAGCCAATTTCACTCCTCATCCTTGCCGGCCGTGGGGACACCGAGAGGCCCCCCACGTCACGCCGTGCGGGTATCACGCTGTGCGGGTATCACGCTGTGCGGGTGGCCAATTTCACTCCTCATCCTTGCCGGCCATGGGGGCACCGAGAGGCCCCCCACGTCACGCTGTGCGGGTATCACGCCGTGCGGGTATCACGCCGTGCGGGTATCACGCCGTGCGGGTATCTGGCAGCAGGCCCCGATGTGGTTTAAAACCTGACCTGTTTCTTTTTGCACATGGAGCGCACCTCTCGTTGTAGAAGAAAACGTGAATTTTGGCTGCTGGGGGTGGGCTTCTTCGTTAAAACAAGGCTTGCGTTTCCTGTGCATCTTGTTTTAGAACGAAAAAGCACGCTGGGTCCCGGCTTGAGTGAAGGCAGCCACCCCAGCAGTGCGACCACGGCACAACATGCTTGGCGATCCCGGTATATACAACAGCTGCCCCACAGGCAGCCATCCAACTGGTGAATTTTCCCTTCGTTCCTTCTACACACGGAGATGGGCCTTTGAGTAAAGCTGGACCTGCTGAACTTCTGCCTGCCAAGCAATTGTTGAAGGCAGGAAGGAGAGCAAAAAAAAATTTTTTCCCTCCTCTGTTTGCATGTTCTTGCATTCTTGACCCCATTAGGGACGTTGTGCGCTCAGCGTGTTGTTGAGCTGTACAAATATTTATTCCTCCAGTCTGGCATACCTGATTTTTTTTTTATTATTTGCTTGAGCACACGCTGGGAAGAAAGGGGGGGTGTCACATGATGTGTATACTGGAGAGACCATTTCGGTGGGACGAAGTGAGACGAGCCGGACGCCTTCGCTCCAAGAACCAAACTCCAATGCCACCAGAATCTGTTTCTGTGCAGTCCTGGGGTTGCCAAATGCTCTGGGGGGGGGAACTGTACCGGCTCTTCTGCCATTTAATTGCTGCTTGACGGCATGTAGGAGCTCATAGCAGGCATTTTCAAGGCGTGCAGAGCAGCACTGCCATCAGTGAATCTCTCTTGAGCAACTTGAAAACTAGGAGAATAGTGGGTGGCCCAAACTGTACCTTTAATTTAATTAATCCAGAAGGAATAAGCAATCGGCTTATCTTCCATGCCTGCTAAGCCGGAAAGGGGACCGCTGTAATATTTTTGACTTGGGTAAAATCATCGCTATGCGATAATCGGTAAGCGAAACAGCGAACCGATCATCGCAAAGCGATTTTTTCCCATTTAAAACATTGCAATGTGATCACTTTTGCGGTCACAAAATCTTCATCGCTATGCGATTTCGTCGTTAAACGGGGCGCCCGTTAAGCGAGGCACCACTGAGCTTGGAAGGCTGTCATACAGAGGAGGGACAAGATATGTTCTTGATCATCCCGGAGTGCAGGACACACCGTAATGGGCTCAAGCCACAGGAAGCCAGATTTCAGCTGAAGATCAGGAAAAACTTCGTAACTGTCAGAGCAGTACGAAAATGGAACCCATGACCTCGGGAGGTGGTGAGCGATTCAACGCTGTAGACATGCAAGAGAACAATCTGTCATATCTGCTTTGATTGAGATTCCTGCCTTGAGCAGTGGGGGTTGGACTTGATGCCCTTCGAGGCCCCTTCCCACTCCATGATTCTGTGATTGTACAAGCAGCTTTCTGCCTCTGAACGCTGGAGTAAAAGTCATAGGCATCCTTCAGTCTCAAGAGACTATGGTAACGTGCTCTGTATGGAGGACTTGGAACAGCGTCTAGTGTTTTGACGCTGTACACGAAGCTGGAGTGTCCTCTCCAGAGCACGATGCCTGGGTAAAATAATGTGGAGGATAGGCGGTTACCCAACTAGCAAATCCCCCCTCTCCATGTCACTGAAATCATCCAGCGGAAAGGCAAAAGCCAATACAACTGGTTTCAGCAACGTCGCAGGAGTTCCCAGAATGACACAAATCGTTCTTGAAATCGTTCTCGGTCAAATCGTTCTTGAAATTCAACAATTTGAAGTAAAAACGACCTTTTGAATCCATCGTTTGAACTGGTTTGAAATCTCAAATATTTTGACAACGAACCTCGCAGCCACCTCTCCTAGCCAACTATTGGAGTGGGAGGGCTTATGTCACCTGGCCTGATGAAGCCTTCACATTCTTGTGGGATTTGAGTGTGTTTGTATGTGTGTGTGTGTATACACCCCATGCCACAATAAGCCTCTGACACTTCTCTTTTTTCTGCCTCTCTTTCAGTCCTTGAATGGGTGCCCTATGTGTGTGTGTGTATGTACACCCCACGCCACAATAGGCCTCTGAAACTTCTCCTTTTTCCGCCTCTCTTTCAGTCCTTGAATGGGTGCCCACGAAAGTCCGCACGGTGGCCGGGACGGTGGTAGGATACAGCGCAACCCTCGGTCAAATCATTCTTCCTGGGCTGGCCTACGCCCTGCCGGACTGGCGGTGGCTCCAGTTTGCTGCTTCGATGCCGTTTTTTGCCTTTTTCATATACTCTTGGTGAGGGAAATCGGGAAACTTCTAAACCCTTGGCTTTCTCTTTAGGGCCAGGATCTCATGATTTCTGACCCCTGTTTAGCATTCAGCTCATAAATGATTAAAAGGTGTGGATTTAAGATCTACATTTCTTCAATGCCTTCGGTGCTGGAGCACTCACCAACTCCCGAGGTAAATGGTCCCGTTGTCGTACTGCTCTAACAGTTAGGAAGTTTTTCCTGATAAAGGTAAAGGTAAAGGTTCCCCTTGACAATTTTTGTCCAGTCGTGTTCGACTCTAGGGGGCAGCGCTCATTTTGTCCGAAGACAATCTTTCCAAGGTCACATGGCCAGTGCGACTAGACACGGAACGCTGTTACCTTCCCACCGAGGTGGTCCCTATTTATCTACTTGTATTTGCATGCTTTCAAACCGCTAGGTTGGCGGGAGCTGGGACAAGCGACGGGCGCTCACTCCGTCGCGTGGATTCGATCTTATGACTGCTTGGTCTTCTGACCCTGCAGCACAGGCTTCTGCGGTTTAGCCCGCAGCACCACCACGTCCCTGATACTCAGCCTAAATCTGTAGCTGTAGCTTGAGCCCATTGTTGCGTGTCCTGCACTCTGGGATGATCGGGAACAGATCCTGCCCCTCCCCTTCCATTGATGTTTGGTGCTCCCTCCCACCCCCGAAGCCCTTCCCAAGACCCTGGCATTGATGTCACCTTCTGAGCTCTGTCGGCATCTTTGGCACAGGTGGTTTGCAGAATCCGCCCGCTGGCTGGTCCTCTCGGGCAAAGTGGAGAAGGCAGTGGAGGTGCTGAAGAAGGTCGCCCAGTTCAACGGCAAGAAGGATGAAGGGGAAAAGCTCACCACAGAGGTACAATGATGGGTCGGGGTTGACCATGTTGCCATGCAGAGGCACAAAAGGGACACACACACACACATATACACACACACAGTGCCCTGAATCTCGGCATCGCTTTGGCCATAAGGCTTGGGGGAGTTATTCCTTGTTTGTTTTTCCTTTTCAGACCCTAGAAGCCCTTAAAAGGTTCAAACATATTCACTTGTTTATTTATTTGTTAAGTTACCCGAACAGCCCAACTTTTCTCTAAGAAGCTCAAGACGGGATATGCAGTTCTCTAATGAGATAAGAAAACCAGAGAAGGAAACCTTTGTTGCAGCTTGTTAGGCAGTTCCTTTTAACAGTGTCCTCTACAGGGTTTCTATGGAACTGCAAACAAGCTGCAAACAAGGCTTTACTCCTGCTTCCCTGTCTGGACACGAGAAATCCCCAATGTGACTTCACAGCGAGTGAACGCGAGTGAATTTCTGTAGTTGTTTGAAACAGCAAACAACTACAGAAGTCATGTTCTTTAGTAAATAAAGAAGCTGCCACTATAAAAGTTGTCAGAATTCATGTCCATGTGAGATCCTTCCCTAGCTTTCTCTGCCATCATGCTTAGCATCACTTGGGACCATTAAGGTAAGGTTTTGCAGGAGTGCCTGAAAAGACCAGTTCTTAGGTTCTCTCATTTTTCTCCTGCAGGTCCTGAAGTCCAACATGCAGAAAGAACTGGCCTTGGCACAAACCTCTTACACTCTGGTCAGCTTGGCCCGTACACCCACCGTGCGACGCATCTCGTGTTGCATTTCCAGCGTATGGTATGTTTACGTTGTTACGCCTTCTCTTTCCCTTTCAGAGACTTTGAGCAGCCACCATAGCTAGGAACTTGACTTTCCCACCCCGTACACAGCCCTAAAATTATGCTGGCAAAATGTTAGCTCCAAAGGACTCCGTTTGAGGAGTGTCTTGAATAGGTCTCTGTGCCTTTTGATTCAGAAGTAAGTGACTTCGAATTCAATGGGGCTTAGGGTTTCGTTGCAGCGGCCCCGGACTCAGGACCAGCACACACCGGATCAGTGCCCAAAGATGAGTGTCCTCCACCTGAGAGCAGCAGGCTAGTTTACAGGTCGTGGTGATGATTGTTACGTACCGTCAAGTTGCTTCCCAACGTATGCCAGCCCTCTGAATTAGACACTTGCAGAAGGTCCTATAATTAACACCCCTGCTCAAGTCTTTCACAGGGCTATGGCTCCCTTCATTTATTTATTTACAGTAGGGCCCCTGTCTGGACAGGGGATCAATTCCAAGCCTCCTCCCCCACGCAGATGCTGGAAAATATGGATTATAGCAAACATTACTTTAATAGCTAATACTATACATTGCTTGGTCTTGTGCTCCCTCTAGTGGCCAGTTCTGTAACTTCATTTTTCAAAATATATATTTCTAGAATTTTTCTTTTAATATTTTCAGACTGTGGTTAAGTGAATCAGTGGATACTAATCCCGTGGATAGGGTGATACTACTCACTATTTATCTATCTATCTATCTATCTATCTATCTATCTATCTATCTGTCTGTCTGTCTGTCTGTTGGGTGATACTACTCACTATCTGTCTGTCTGTCTGTCTGTCGGTCTGTCCGTCCGTCCGTCCGTCTCTCTCTCTCTCTCTCTCCCTCATCCTTCCTTATCTATCTATCAATCAATCAATCAATCAATCAATCAATCAATCAATCTATCTATCTATCTATCTATCTATCTATCTATCTATCTATCTATCTATCTATCTATCTATCTATCTATCTATCTATCATTTCAGCTTGTATACACTTCCCCATAGTAGACTCTCTGGGCTATTCATAAGATCGTCCTATGAATCACATTAATGGAATATGAACAATGTACTATAACTATCATGAAATCAATAAAATAAATAAAGTCACTATAACTAACTAACCCTAGCTATAAAAAGCAACAAACTAGAACAACCTTGGACATCTCGGGTAACAAGTCCTGATTTTTAAAAAAAAACAGTGCTAAATAATTCTAGTTTTGACTAATTTCTTTAAAACTAAGAGGGAAAGCGCCTGGCGAACCTTGGTTGAAAGTTTGTTCCGGAGGTATATGGAGCCAACTGGAAAAAGCCTCATATTCCCCTCTTTTGGCCTCCTTAGATATGCCTGTTTTTAACATCATGGACTACAGACACCAGGTGGGGCAGGTAGCTGTTTTTGTAGGAAGGATGTTCTGACAGATATCGATGTCCTAAACCATTAAGGGCTCATTACCTGTTGATTTTTTTTGAGTCAATCCATCTCATGTCCAATCTTCCTCTTTTCCTGTTGCCTCTTTTCCTGCACACCATTTTGTCCCAGAGAGGAAGAGCAGGGGGCTCAGCAGGACCCACTTGGTAGGGGGGAGCCCTCCTCTGCCCCACAGACTCTGCTTTTTCGTGGTGTTACCTACTTCCCCAAAAGTGATGACTCTGTGCAGGTGTGCTGTGCGGCTCTTTCCTGATATTGCCCCCTGCGAGCGGCTATAGGGCTCTGAACGTTTCATGCCTTCGCTCCTTCCACCGAACCACGTCCAGGTTTGCGACCAGTTTTGCCTACTATGGCTTGGCCATGGACCTCCAGAATTTCGGCTTCAGCATCTACCTGATCCAGGTGGCCTTTGGCTCCATCGACATCCCAGCCAAGCTGGGCTCGGCCGTCGGCATGAGCTACATCGGGCGGAGAACCACGCAAGCGTCTTCCGTCATCCTGGCAGGCTTGGCCATCCTGGCCAATACGTTTGTGCCCCAAGGTGAGTTGCCGCGGTCGAGGCAAAAGCGTGCAGGTTCAGGGTTTCGGATCAAGGCCTCCGGGAAGACGTGAGAGGCCATTTAAACATGATTTTGCTTCTCTCTACCCCTCCAATGACCAGACAATGCTCCTTTACGAAACAGAAAGACTTTTTATGGCTTAAAACAGGCCAAGAGGCAAAAGGGCAGACACCAGAAGCCTCTGGAACGGAGCAGATTTGCAATTCTGGAAGAGAACATCGAAGACCGCAAGGTGGTTTCAGAGGCTGTCTGTAGCCCTCGCTCTGCTTTTAGCCCAATCTTGGATTTGTAAAGATCAAACTTACGACAGAAGAGTCAGCCTAGAGATGGTGGTCAGCAAAACCCTGGAAGTCTAAGGAATTGAATCGGGATGTTGAGTCCCTCTGTTCGGAAACCCTGTTCGGAAAGACTCCGCTGGGAAAACGGTGGGGTATAAAAATGATAAATGAAATGGAAAGGAACGATAGGGCACCACCACCACCCCCAAAAGTCCTTCTGTGCCTCTGACCTTCCTTCCTCTCTGCTCTTTCCAATCCTCTCCAGAGTTACGGACCCTCAGGACCTCTTTGGCGGTGCTCGGCAAAGGGTGTCTGGCATCATCTTTCAATTGCCTCTACCTCTACACGGGGGAGCTGTACCCTACCGTGATCAGGTAGGTCTCTCCCGGTGGCGGGGCGGAACGTCCTCGTCATGCCGCAGATATGACCCTATGCCTCTACTTGGAGAATTCATCCGTTCCTTCTTCCCTCGTGGGAGGTGGTGGCGGTGGCAGATAACATGGTCTCTGCTGTACACAAAAATAAAACATCCCAGAATACTCTGGCTGCAAGGCATTTAACATGGGGCATAAACCCACCGCTTAAGTCCTCCACACATTTAATGGAAACACACAGGAACCCTAAGAGTTAACGCGGCCCCGGTTCATTTTTCCAACTCTTGCACGTTTCTAATTAGTTAGGTGGTGGTGTCATCTCTGCTACTACTCCGCAACCCATGGTCCTTAGGACCGGTGAGCCTGGCTTCCACTAGACCGGCGGTTCCCAGCCTTGGGTCCCCAGATGTTCTCAGACTACAACTCCCATGAGTCTTTGTGACTGGCTGTGCTGGCGGCAAAGGCTTTTGGGAGCCGCAGTCCGAGAACATCTGGGGAGCCTCGACTAGGAACCACCTACGAGCAATCTTAACAAACCAAGCAAACCGATGAGCAACCCTAAGAAGTCGGCCAGGTGGGAGTTCATTGTGCTTTATCGCCTCCTGCTGGAAGCGTTGGGATCACTCTAAAAAAACCACCGTTGGCTACCTGTTTTCGTTATACCGTTCCAAACCATCCCTAATAGGGAGCAATCCAACCCAGACTGGTCTAGGGTTGGAGCCTACAGTTTATTAGGGAATATTAAGGCTCAGTCCAAATAAGCACATTTTCTTGATATGCGATACCGGGAGCTGTTTCCGTGTGAATGCTCAGGCTTGATAACATTGTTCTAACCAAGCCCTACCATCCAGGTTTGATGGCTCCTGGACATTAATGTAGCTGCACCTGAAGAAAAATCAATAATAATAAATTTTTAAAAAGCCCACATGAATCACACTTACCATATTTTTCCATGTATAAGACTATACTTTTGTCTAAAATCTTTAGACTAAAAATTGAGGGTCGTCTTATACACGGAAGTAAGCTGAGGAGAGAACAAGAACAAGTGGAGGGGAAAGCAGGGATCAAAGCGATCCTGCAGCGCTTTGATCCCTTTCCCCCTACACTTGCTAAGCCCCACTTAGGTTTCTTAATTTTGGATTAGAAATGTGGGGGTGTCTTATAAATGGGGGCGTCTTACGCACAGAAAAATACAGTACTTTAAAAAAATCGATTAGGATTAGGCATCCTTCCGTCTTGAGAGATGTGGAGGGGAAAGCAGGGATCAAAGCGATCCTGCAGCGCTTTGATCCCTTTCCCCCTACACTTGCTAAGCCCCACTTAGGTTTCTTAATTTTGGATTAGAAATGTGGGGGTGTCTTATAAATGGGGGCGTCTTACGCACAGAAAAATACAGTACTTTAAAAAAATCGATTAGGATTAGGCATCCTTCCGTCTTGAGAGATGATGGTCACATTTTTAGAATTCGATTAGGATTACGCATCCTTCCGTCTTGAGAGACGATGGTCACATGCTCTGAATGGAGGATTTGGAACAGCGTCTTCTGTGGCTGAGAAGGCCAATTCGAGAGTAGCACAATCCCTTCCATACCGAAGAAAAATACAATCTGTCGCCTGTCCAGCTCCCTGATTTGGCTAGTTTGGGGTCTGCCTCTCTGCCTCAGCCTGCTGGACAAGGGTCTCTTCAAATTGGGAGA